AGTTGGGAACTTGTATAAGTTATTAAGAAACTCCATTGTCATTGATGCGGCAAATTCAATAGTGGAGAGTAATGATCTTCTAGTACACTTATGGCATAGGAGGTTGGGCCACTTAAGTGAAAATGATATAGAGATTTTGATGAAGATGAAGCTAATTCCCAACATAAAATTTGGGGACTCCGAATTTTGTGAGCATTGTGTTTATGGGAAACAATATAGACGAATTTTCAAAGCCGAAAGCCATACAAGAAAGAGACTACTTAATTATGTTCACTTGGATTTATGGGGGCTCTCACCCATATTGTCATATGATGGTGCATTGTATTTTATTTGTTTTATAGATGACTTCTCAAGGAAGGTATGGGTGTTCACTCTTAAATCAAACAGTGATGCATTTTTTGCCTTTAAGCATTAAAGCCGAAGTTGAGAAGAGTATGGGGTGCCACATCAAAACATTTCGTACCAACAATGGAAAAGAGTACAATTCCAATGAGTTTACCAAATTTTGTAAAGATGAAAGAATCAAAAGGCATTTCATCACGGTTTACACTCTCTAACAAAATGATGTTGCGGAAAGGATGAATCGTACTTTGATGGAGCGAGCAAGAAGCATGTTGAGCAATGTCGGATTAGAATAAGAGCTATAGGTCGAAGCCGTGATGACGGTTTGTTATCTCATCAATCAATCACCTTCAACGGCTTTGGGGGAGAAAACACCCTAAGAGCTATGGTCTAGAACTCATTGTGATTATTTCGATTTAAATATTTTTGTTATGATGCATATGTTTTAATTTCTAGTTGCCAAATGAATAAGCTTGAACCAAAATCAAATAAATACATTTTTGTTGGGTATAACAAAGGTGTGAAAGGATACCGGTTATGAGATCCAACTGCTCGAACGATAATTACAAGCTGAGATATGTATTTTGATGAGTCATCCATGTTGACAAGAGGCGTAGGAAATGAGATTAAAGAAAGAGAAGAATTCATAATGATACTCAAGAAATTGATTTTCAACTTTATGTCCCATCATCTAGTGAAGGCCATATACTGGAAGAAGTCATTGATGAAGAAGAGCAAGTTGGTGAACCAAGTGATTCCCATAGAGAAGTTGTACCATCCATAACAAGAAGATCCATAAAGGTAATTCGTCCACCCGAGCGGTTTAGGAACTATGTGGATCCCGAAGTACTATCTGCTCCAGCACTTAGAAGTTATGGAAGGAGATGATTCCATATCTTGGAAGAATGACATGGAAGATGAAATGTTGGCTCTTCGTAAGAATAAGACTTGGGATTTGGTAGAGTTGCTAAATGGTAGAAAACCGGTTGGTTGCAAGTGGGTGTTCGTAATCAAGAAAGGGATTGATTGAAGTTTGGAAAGGTATAGGGCAAGACTAGTTACAAAGGGGTTTGCACAAAAGGAAAGTGTCGACTTTCTTGAAATATTTGCCCCGGTTATCAAGTTAGACTCCATAAGGTTGGTGCTTGAGCTTGTTGCATTGCATGATTTAGAACTTGAACAAATGAATGTAAAAACGACACTTTTACATGGTGAACTTGAAAAGAAGTGCACGTGCAACAACCGGAACGATTTCTTTAAAAAAGAAAAGAAAGGTTAGTGTGCAAGTTAAAGATATCCATATATGGACTCAAATTAGCATCAATACAATGGTACAAGACTTTTGACATGTTCATGATTGGTCTTGGATACCATAGGAGTGATTATGACCATTGTGTTTATATGAAGTTTGTTTATAATGGTTTTTACTTAAACTTAGTCTTATATGTTGATGATATGCTTTTGACATGCAAAGACAAGAATGTGATTGATGAGCTCAAGATATCTTTGAGCAAGAGTTTTGAAATGAAAGATCTCGAGTCACTTTCACAAAAGAGAATTGTGGAAAAGATGCTTCATAAATTTAACACGAGCAAGGCAAAACTGGTGAAGACTCCATTAGCTCCTCATTTTAAGTTGTCTTCCAAGCAAAGTCTAAAGACCGTGGATGAAAAAGAGAATATGACTAAGGTGACATATGCAAGTGTTGTGGGAAACCTACTGTTTGCCATGGTAGACGGGACATAGTATATTCGGTTGGTGTCTTGAGTCGTTTTATGGTAAATCCCCGAAAAACTCATTGGGAAGGCGCAAAATGGATGCTTCATTATTTAAGAGGCAAGAATGATTATGCCATGACATTTAGCAAAGGCTTGGGGCACATTCAAGGCTATGTTGATGCAAATTATGCCAGTGATCTTGATAGAGGAAGATCAACTACCGACTATGTTTTCAAGTTTGGAAATGGACCGGTAAGTTGGATGTCAAAACTTCAATCAACGGTGGCATTGTCCACCACCGAGGTAGAATATATAGCGGCAATCGAAGCAAGCAAAGAAGCGGTTTGTTTTCAAGGCCTTATGCGAGAATTGGGTATCAATTCTACGCCCATAGAAATACTTTGTGATAATATGAGTGTCATCAATTTGGCTAAGAATCCCATTTTATGACAAGAGGACGAAGTACATACTAGTCTGATACCATTATGTTCGACAAGTTATTGAAGATGGTTTGGTTCGGTTGGTGATAGTTCAAATCAAGGACAATGTGGAGGATATGCTTACAAAGACAGTTCCAAAGTTGGAATGGAGCCTAACTTCTATAGCCTTCATGAAGAAATAAAAAGGGGATTATCGGCAAGACAAGTAAGTGATGTACTATCGAGGTGGAGATTATTGAATGGTGATAGAAAATTCACATTTTGGATGCTTTTGTCTTTTACTATTTGTTTGGGGGTTTTTTTGTCACTACACAATTAGGTGGCTTGTATAAACGTCAAAATGGGATTTTTGCGTTACACGATTCTTCTTGGTTTGAACTCCTCTCTCTATAGAAAACGGGCTAGGGCTTTCTTGGGTTATGTTGAGAAATGGAAGGAGGTGAAGAAGGATTTTTTTGTCCTATTTTTGGGAGAAATTGTATGAGCTTGTATTGCTCATGTTCTTGGGTCATCTGAAGTGAAACGTGGTAAATCGTGATTTTTGAATGATCACAACAATGTATTATTGGTGACATTTTTTTCATTAATTTTTTCCTTTTGAGGTTATACTATTGTAAATTTCTTCTTTTGATAGTGGAATACTTGTCGGCTTGCCCGTGGATATAGGTCTACGGGGTAAACCACATTAAATTCGTGTTGTGGTTTGTCTATCTAATGTTCTCTCATAACTATGTTTTCCATCTCTAATTTGTTTTATTAAATTGTTGCATACTATCATTGAACTTATTATTTGATTATCGATTCTACATATCTGATATTGAGTGTGCGATATTCAGTGATCTATTAAATTGGGGTTTCGGGTATTCGGATATCCAAGAGTGGGGTATTTTATATCCATTCTACTCTTAAAATGATTTCTTTAGAAAAGTTTTAACATTATATAACTTTACCTTGGTTACCAAAAGCATATCCCTCTCTCACACGGTATACAAAGTTTGCAACTAGTTTATAGAAGTGTTGCGAATAAAATCAATCAAACTTTTGATGGATGAGTGGCATATCAACCACGTCGCATGCGTCATGAGTGACGACCAAACTTTGGCGCAAAACTAGTGATAGCAGTCATACGAGGGAGACCTAAACTGAAAAATGACATTTTGTCGGCCACTAATTTTGAGGAAATTTGGGCTAAAATTTTGGTGTAGTTACAATGTCATTTTCAAAACCTTACAAAGCTCAAACTTGAATTCAAAGTTTCGAACCAAAACCATACAACTGTATGGCACTCGGCCGCTGAGACGGACAAACTCATGGGCCCAGCCCATCCCATCCCATCCCATCCCAATTTAAGACTGCTTTCCGTACATGGGAAAATTCAAATGAGAGGAATATGCGTGTCCTTTCTAAATTGATCATGCATACCTGGTGGGCCTTCAAAAAAAAACCCAACAAAGTTTTAAAATCTCATCTAGTGTTCTTCAAACATTCACCAATAGAACAAAAGTATTGGTTGGTCGGAGTGGCGTGACCCGGTCCAACTAGATTTAAGTGATTTGGGTCCTTGGTCGGGACCCAATTGGGCTGGGTTTGAGTATGACATAATAAGTATAAAAAATATATTTTATATTTTATAATAGATAGTTACTATATATTTATACGTACCCTAAACATATGAATATCAAGTCCGGTTTGACCCAATGCGATGGGGTCCAAGTAGGACGCGAGCCTGGAGCTGACATTTTAGGTCTGTTCAACCTATGGAGTCCATGGATTGACATGTCCTATGTCCCACCCCAAATCATAGATAGGCCTGTATGTTTTTTCTTTCTTGTTACTGAACAACTTTTTTTTGTTTTTTTATTTTATACCAAAAACTTATAAAAACCAGTAATGTCAGTTTAGATGGTGGTCAAAATTTGATCTACCGATCCAATTTTTAAAACAATAATCTCAAAAATTAAAAATGATTCTTGAAAGCATTTTAAAAATAATGACTAATCTGTCTTTACTATTTTCTACATGGCATTTTTCGTCCTTGAAAAAAGACAATAGACGCACGTCCCCTTGTTATGGCAGGCAGACAAAGAGGCCGTATCCTATAGGCCAGACGAAGACCTTACTCAGGGCGTGGGCGTGTCCATTGGGCCTGACCAAGCCTTACTCAGGTCGTGTCCCATGGCCCTGACCACGACCTTACTCAATTAAAGTAACAATAAGCATTAGAGAATTAATTATGGACTTTTACGTCATTTAAAAATGACGGTGGCTTTTTTGTCATTTTTCAGAAACTCTTCCTGCCATTTCAATTAAGAACGGTGGCAATTTTGTCATTTCACAGCAAAAGTGAGACATGCTCGAAATCCGTTACCCATCGCCCGTGAAACGCACGAATCCCCTCGATTTTATAAAAATAAAAAAGTGGAGGATTATCCCTAAAATTTGACAAAAGTACCCCTAACCGGCTCTACCAGTCAACCTTATGGACCAGGCGAGAATGGTTTTACCGCTTGCAGCCCATTGTTAAGCCGATAATGGGAAGGGATTGAGGCTTTCTCGCCTCTGGTTCCGAGTCCCTTTCTTGAAAAGAACTTGTTCACTCTTTGTGGACTGGTCCTGTTGCTTAGGCTTTTCACTGCCATTAATGGCTAAGAAGAGGTTAAATTCCATTATTCCTCTCGGCCTTTAAGAGCTAACTACCGACCCAATCCAAAACCCTAACGCTGTTGCGTTTCGTTTAGCTGAGATCGTCGAGAAAGAGCAAAGCAGATACTCCAGGGGTTTTTTTCGTCTTTACGCGCTAGATTTGGGTGAACTGGAGTTAAATTTCGGCTGATTTTTTTAGTCTTTTCCTGTTCAGGAACGGTTTGGTGGCCTCCAGAAGAACAATCAGGTAGCGACTGTAAGTTTAAACCCTAATTCATGTAGCGATTTTCCTATTTTTGGAAAGTTTTGGTTCTGGAATTTCGTATTCCTTGATCTCTGATTCTTATCTTCTTACGAATTTGTCACTCAGTTGTAAGAACCCTAGTGTCAGTGAAGCCTTTCTATATGCTGGCGACATTTGATTCCATTTAGTTCGAACTTTGAAGTCCTTTTTCTTTTCCTATGGTCTTTACTCTTTACAGATCTGGTGAGCTTTCAGAGTCAAGCTTTCATGGTTTTTTTTTTTTTCATGAGATTGAATCTACTAGCGCATTAGCTTATTCATATAGATAGATATGTATTTCTTCATATTGCGGAGAAAAATATGATCCTCTCTGATCGTGATCGTGATCGTGATCGTGATCCGATATGCATTGTGATCTTCAATTCTAGCCGTTGATAACCTCTGATCCAAGACGAAATACGAAATTTGGATTTCGGATCTCTCCATCGAATCTTTACCGTACATGCTGAATGTCAATGTCCCAACGAAAATCCTATGATTTTTTTTTTTCAAAGAAGATCGCAAGGATTTTCCGCTGCCTCGAAACCGCGTGAAACAAACGGTTCCGATCTTTTCTCCCTATAAAATTCGAATCTCCGCCCTCCATCACAGAAAGGCCATCAGATTCCAAACATCAGTAACTTTTGAGTTGGACGCTTTACACTTCTGGACTGCATATTGTAGAAATGCGGTCCAGCCCCCATGAAACAACTTTCCATAATTTTTTTGCCTTCGTCGTAGAAGCGGAGTACGTGGTCCTCCCAGTCCGGTCTCCAGCTGCTAAAACAAATCATAGCCGTTGATTTCAAGGTTCAAGCTCTTAGGTCTCTTTTCGCTTCGAAGGGGACCTCGAATCTAATTCGTTCGTTCGTTCGTTCGTTCCTTCCTTCCCACAATTACAGGGTTCCATGTTTGAATATCAGCTGACCATTCAGTCAGCAAAGAATCCAGGCCGTCCGATCCAGGGTTCTTGCAGGATGGGGAAGGCAGGAAGAGACTGGAAGCAGGTGTACGAAATCTACGGCGTGGAGAATTGGTGGTCAGTGGTGGCCCTGTTCGTTCAGGCCGCCATCTTTGCGGCGCTCTCCGTCTTCCTCCTCGCCTTCTTCGAACCGTTGTCTGTGTCTCTTCACTCCCGCTTTCCGGCGATTCCGGCCCCCATCCTTCGCCTGGCTGCAGGCGTCATGGGCTCTGTTGCGGGCCTCACTGCTGGTTTCCTGTTTGCTGACGCCGCACATTCTCTCCACACATCCGCCGCCCTGCGCTGGGCCATGGCACAGCGCGTGGTTGCCATGGTCTCCGACTGGTCCACGGTGCGCACCGCCCTCGACCTTGGCTGCGGCCGCGGAATACTCTTAAACGCAGTAGCGCTCCAATTGAAGAAGGAAGGGAGCGCAGGATGCGTGGTTGGGTTGGCTTTGAGGGGGAATACGGTGGCGGCCACGCTGAGGGCAGCCGTAACAGAAGGGGTGCAGGAGTACGTGACGTGCAGGCAGGGGGACCCCAGGAGACTCCCGTTTGCTGGGAATTATTTCGACGTGGTGGTGTCCGGGAGGTTTATGCACACGGTGGTTGGGGTGGAGGAAAGGGGGAGGGTATTGGGGGAGGCAGTGAGGGTGATGAGGGAGGGCGGGGTGGGGGTGGTGTGGGACGATGATAGGGTTTTGGTGGCGGAGTACGCGGAGAGGCTGACGGGGATGGGGATGGAGGAGGTAAGGGTGGCGGAGGGAATGGTGGTGGCCTTCAGGAAGCCTGTTGGAGGAGGTGCGACGCAGAGAGTGGGAGTGGTGGTGGCTCCCAAGGAGTATGATTACCTCAGTGTGAGCACCGGCTAGTGAGATCCCCTTCATCTCTCTCTTGATGAAGTTGTTATCTTCCTCTTGTTTTTTACTTACAGGGCAGTCTGATGATGTACTTAAAGTTGAAGGCTGGGGAGGCGAAGCTGAGCCAGACCTAAAGAAAATATGGTGTTATCTCTCTTGATGAAATTGTTATCTTCCTCTTGTTTTTTACTTACAGGGCAGTCTGATTATGTAATTACAGTTGAAGGCTGGGGAGGCGAAGCTGAGCCAGACCTAAATAAAATATGAAAATACGGTGTTATGTGTGTATTCTGCTATCTTCCTTTTTCAAATTCTTTTGTTTCTATGTTGTTAAGTGAACATAGGGAATATGTATCTGGGTTTTCTGCTTCCTCTGTTGGGTTTTAAATTACAGTCATAAGAGTTATCCGAAGTTAGAGGGATTAGGTTTTTTTTTGAAGCGATTTTTTTAGCATGTCCTCTTCTTCTTCGTAGTAACTTTGTATTTTTAACTTCCTATTCTCAACCGGTAATCACTTTTCCCTACTTTGTGTTTTTTACCTCCCTTTAGATAAAGTAAGTAGTCTCATAGTATATAATCCCTTTAACAAGCATGCTTTACACATGTTAAATGGAGCTTTGCATGTTATTCTATATGGAATTTGGAGCAATGGAGCTTCAAATTGTGTTGTCCACAAATGGTATTGTGGATTCAATTTATGGGACATGCCGATAAGTTTTCCTAATAAAATTTTCTTGATGAGCAACTTTATAATCTCAAGATGAGGATAGTGCTTCATTGTAAGGCACTTGAATGGCTTCAATGCTCTGATTAGAAAGTTAATTGCACTAAATGCAAAAATTGACGACAAAGATAAGGCATCAATATTAATTTTGTTCTATGCTTAAATCATGGAATTGGTTGATCATGAATCTTAGTAGTGCAATTATTCTGCTTTTGCACTTTCTTCCGAGGAGTTCGGGCGAATGTTTGGTTAAGATTTCTCTGGGAATGTGTTTGTACCATAGGGGTAGAACAATAGAGAGAACAATAGGAATGGTACATGTGGAAAATTAGATCATGTGAAGCCAAATTATAAGCCACAAAAGAGAAACTCAAAAACCCCTAAAATTTGGTTCTAGAAAAAATCCTAGGTCTAGTGAATCTCAAGGAAATCTAATTGAAATAATTGATTTTTCTAAAGATGAAGTTTTATTTGTGATTGGGGAGAAATTTTTGCAGTATCGTACTTAATTTAGGTGCATCGTTTTACATTATTCCACTTAAGAATTGATTCTATAAATACCACCTATAAAGTTATTGGAGTTGGAGATGTGATAATTAATATGTTTAATGGAGCAACATGTATAATCACAGGTATCAAACATGTTCCAAATCCCAGAAGGAATCACTTATCCTTATGAAAAATTTCATGAACAAGGTTTTAGGTTTACTGGTGGTAATGGATGCTTTAAAATTTCAAAGGAGTGATAATGGTTATAAAAGGAGAGTTAACAGACAATTTATGTACACTTGTTGAAAAAACAGTTTTAGGAGAGGCCAAGATTGCTTATGTAGACTCTGTCATAACTGACCATATGTGTTTTAGCTGCACGAGTGAGTATGGATTCAAGGTACTCCTTGATAAACTTTTTACTTGGTTTAAAATCTCTTAAACATAGATTTTTGTGAGTCGTGCTTAATTAAAAAACATAATAAATTGTTCCTCGCTTCATCCATCTCTAGAAATAGGAATTTTTTAGAATTGTTTCACTCGGATACATGTTAATTACATATTATCTCTAGTGAGGTGTATGTTTTGTCACTTCTATTGATGAATTTTAAAGAAAAGTGTCGATTTATACACTAAAAAAATATCATATGCCCTCTAATGCTTTAAAGACTTCAAATAATGAGAGGCACTTTTATTATAATAAATTTAATAATTTTATAGTGAGCATATTATTGCCAGTTATTGGGATGCTGAAATGGGGTTTGAAGTTTTAAGAGATGGGGCATACTCGGCTGCATCACAAGCCTATGGCGAAATTGAGTATGGTTGTTATATAACTGCAAAATGGAGGGCATGTTCGAAAATACTATTACACAAAAATAAAAGAAGTTGAAAACCAAGCCCCCCTCGCTTGACTCAAAGGTGCAGAGGGAGAGGGAGAGGGAGAGGCAAACCGCTCAAAACATCCCCAAACTTCTCCGGAATTTTGTCCAAAATTTCATCTCCAATCCCTCTGCAACACTCCAAGTCTAATTCCCCTTGTAAAAGTGGAAGCTTTTCCAGCCATCGTTTTCTTCTCCACAACCTCTTCATCCCCGCCAAATTCGGCAAATTCTTCTGCCCTGAGGGAAATACTTGCAAGAGCCAAATTTGGACCCTTACATTGATTATCATGCCTTTATTGGCTTTATCTGCCATGAGTTCCATTAGGAACTCATATTGAGGGGTGGGCCACTGGTTCATAATCACCATGATATTGCTTTGTCCTGCAAGTACTCAATAATTGGCAATCAAAATGTTTTCCTTAAAGAGCATGCCAACTACCCTCCAAATTTCACATTTAGAGTACTTTAAGCAATTTGTTTATAAGAAACCTTCAAGGTTAAGTGCATATGTATTTCTGTGCATCAAATAATATTGATAAAAAGAACCAAACTCTTAAAGTGTAAGAATGAAAATTATTAAACAGAATCAGTGTAAAGCCGAGATCCATGTCTCAAACCCTAGGTTGCAGGCTCAAATCTAGTGAATATATGTCAAATAAGTGAGCGATTAAGCAACTGTATACAATGACAATTACAAATATAGGCATACACCCTGATAACTCCACAAAAAGCATGTGATATTTTGAAATAGCTCTTTCCTAGTACAATATTACTCAGATGAACAGATACAAGAATTCCCAATTAAATAAGGAAACAAGAATTCGCAATAATGTGAAGATCTCAACCGTGAAGACTGAGATGACAGGCTCGTAGAGGCAGAAAATGGTGACAAAAATGGCAGTAAAATCCCCAAAATTTATAATTGGTTTTAGAGAGAGGGGAGGTGATGAGCTCACAGTGAAGGAGACAGGAGAGTGAGGTCTTTGTGGAGGAGAGAGAGAGGAATGCCTGAGCTCGAGAGAAGAAGCTTAAGCTGAGTAGAAGAGGAGACTTAAGAGGTATAGAAGCTCTTCCTTTATGGTGAAGACAATTATCACTTCCTTCTTTTCACTTGAGCAAAGGAAATAGTGCCAAAAGTCAATAGCCACTTTCATCTTATATGGAACTTTTAAACATGCTCTGCAGGTTCTTAGAATCGCTTGGTTAAAATCTAAATGGACCACTGATTTTCTTTGTTGTGATATATATTAGAACGAGTTCCAAGTTCAGGAAATATCTTAAGCAGGTTGTTGGTTGACTGCAAAAAGCCACAGCACCAAAACCTCACTAAGCATGTAGGCCACATGGTCCTGTGTTGTTCTGGAAAGTTTTGAATAGATTTAGCCTCTGTGGTATTATGTTGGCCATTCAGTGTGCCCAAACTCTGGTATTAGTAATGAGACCAGTGATTAGAATCTCAAACTCTGGCCTGGAACCCAGCTGGGACCTTGTCCGAGTTAGGTGGTCTGTATTGGCCGAGTCTCGACACGACTTGGCCAAGTCTACCAAAAACTTATGCAATAATCTCAGTAACTGGTGATACTCGCCAAGTTCCCAAAGCTTTTTGATCTAGCCCCTGCCGGGTCCGAGTAACTCATGTGAGTCCGACACAGACTCGCCAAGTTTTGAAACAATGCATGTAATCAGCGTAAATGGAATCTTCTGTGTAGCTACACTTAGGCCCCAAGTATTTTTTGTTTCAAACTATTTTGCATGAGCTCTTGAAGAATGCCTATGTACCCTTTTTTTTTTATAAGAATATCTTGTTGGGCAAAATATAGTTCAATTTTCAATTTGATTATAGGATGCAAGTTTTTCACAAGTAGAAACCTTCATGAACCAGGAAAACAGTAAATACCAGATTTAATTTGCTTTGGGTTTAGTAGTAAAGTTCTTGGAGGAATTGATGTATTTCCCGTATCTGAGTTCTGTGTTATGCTCAAATCCTATGCCCAACTCTTTGCCTCTCTCTGAGCATTGCTTCACTTCCCTTCTAGAAGCAAATTTCTTGATTTGTCAAAAAGTTATCTCGAAGATAAAGGTTATTTTCTTATGGAAGCACGACAGAGGCTTTCATAAATAAAAAGCATTCACAGAAGATAATCTGTGTAGAGCCTGATATGAAAAGAGGGAGAAAGAAATCTTTCCTGAACTGTCCTTGACAACTCTATCCACTATTAACTCCATCTTTTGTGTGGGTTGGTGAGTGACTTACAGGTCTTTTTTTCTTAATTCAAAACTTTTATATTTTTCATTTTGCTTCATGCGTATGGCTTTCCATGCCTGTGATGTATGGCTTTTGATTTGGTTGATTCACTGACTCTGTGACTCGGCTTTAGATCTATTTAGAAATCTTATCCTTCATATGATATTTTACACGGCACTAAAATGCTGAGTTATGCTCGTCATGACTGAGCAAGTTGACTCCCCTGAGACTCAAGTATATGGTGAAGCCACCACATTTCTATATTGCACATGCATACAATTGCTGAGTAATGGCCTTCATGGCAGAGCAAGTGACTGCACAAGTTAACTCCCTTAATCATTAGTCGATTGGATTAACATTTAGGTCAGAGATTGCAAACAATGCTTAGGTCTTTAGTTAACCTAGTGCTGCCATACTGGTTTCTTAGATAAACAAATATGCAAATACCAACTAGTCAGCCCTTCTACCAACATTACATGAACAATAAAATAGGAATCATCAAGGGTGACACACATGCCATCCAAAATTTTTGATACAGCAATGTGTTCATAAAATAAAATAAATATGGTATATGCAACAAAATTAGTAGAATTTTGTTAAAAACACGACTGATTTATGGGGAAACATACTATGGTATTCTTTTCTTTTTTGTTTTTTGTGGGTACAGTATTATTTTCTTTTCACTGCAATGCAATAGGTATGGTTGAGTTTATGAATTATGATGCAGTTGACAAAGTCAGGCAGCTTTCTGCACTAGATCAACTTGAAGGTTAACTGTTTATGTTTTTTTATTTTTTTTGCTGATAAACAGTTTCAAATCAACCAATCACCTGATGCATTGAAATGGTCCAAGAACAAGTCATCAAAAAGATCAGATATTGAGTCTTGGACACAAGTCTATGTTTTTAAACAGTAAAAAGAAAACTTCTTCTGCCTCTAAACTTTGTATTATGAGCTACTGCTTTCTACTCATAATCAAGATTTAGGATTACATTCTGAATCACAAGGAATTGTGTTTTCTACTGAAATAAAAAAGTGTAGATTGTAGGGATCCTTCTCTTGATAAGAGACTGTAGGCTTCTCTTAGGTTAGATCATGAATTCATGACAGCCAAATTAAACTGATGTTTGCTACGTCATCTGTCCCACAATCAGGACAAAGTTAATCAAGGTAGTGAAACTCGGAAAGTATAACATACACAGGTCTTAACTACTGCTCCATACACGGCCAGACATCCATCATCTATCCTTAATGGATGATGTAGATAAACAGTACCTTCATTGAATTGCTGCTAGTGTCCATCAAATGGTTTAAGTTTTATTTTGCTTGTACACAAGCATTAGTACTAAAACCTGTGAAACATATACCATAGAGCAAAATCAGCTTAATGTAGGAAAAAGGAATCTTCTTAATCTAGTCTTTGTTCTTATCATTTGATCTAGATGGTGCAACTGAAGGCAGGAAACTTAATTAATTCTGGATTTAAACGAGGAAAATGCTCAGTTCCCAATCTTGGTCAATCTTGGCCTGCTACTTCCACGCTTTTAGAAAACTGACAACTGGTTAAACCCAATAGCAGTTGGACTGATTAGTTGGGAATGATCCAAGGGAAGAATAGAATTTTAGGTATCGGGTGAATAATGCATTTGTCAACTGAGAACCCCTATATTCAGCTCTCCTATACGGATTAAACCTCGTGTATGAATGCTCTTTTAAGTTCTCATAAAAATCTTGTAAATCAGAGCCACTTTTGGGTACGTCCCACTGCATCATCTGGCAAGGGCTCATATTGCATTCTATCCTTTGGCTATGATACCAACTAGGCAAGTCATAAGTACCATAGTTACTCGAGATCTGACAACTTAAGTGTCGATCTGGCTCGAAGATCTTGCTTTGGAACTCTACGATAGGGATCTCATGGGATCACGATTTTTATATCAGTCCCCTCTTTTAGGATCACTCCTAACCACTCGAAGGGGCAACAAGAGGCCAAGAAAATGATTCATTTCGTACTCCCTCTCTCTCTCTCATGCTTTGGAAGTTGTAGAGTGTGAAATGGCAAATAAAGAAGTTTGGATATATTTTGGAAGTTGCAGAGTGTGAAATTTAAATAAAGTAAAATTTTTATTGCGTACTAAGAGAAGGAAACGAAGAAGCACCACCCTTAGCCTTATCAATAAAAAAATTGGAAATGTACAATGAGATCATTTACTTTTGATACAATGAGGTCACAATTATCATTCACCAATAGATTTAAAACCGGGTGGTCGAGGATGTATCATTGTTTAGTCAGGAAGTCCAAGACAAAGTTTCTCGAATATTGTTATACACTTTCATCTATTAGATTTCACAATCCAACGGCAAACAATAATTGTGACCTTCTTGAATAAAAAAAAAATGGTCTCATAGTATATAATGTGTCTCATCATAATTTTTTTCTATGTTTTAGATTTTTGTTACATAAACTACACCTCAAAGAGTAAAAAATACATTTCATTAATTGAATAAAATTTAATCAATAGATAATTGATTTTTATTGCATATTTTCCCCCTTTTGACTATGTTTTATGGGATTACTAGACTTATTTTTAAAAAAAAACTAATATTTTAAAATTTTGTGTTAATTAAATCATTGTACGGAATGCGCTTCTAGGGATGTCACAATCTTTCCCTCCCTCTTATGCGACCATGTTCGTCCGCACGTAATCTAGGAATCATTTTGTAATTGACCCCCTAATATGGTCCGTATGTAACTTTCTCATACCTTTATTATGTAATATTGCCCTGAAGTTTGAGAGTAGCAATTTTTATGCTTGTGAGAAATCATAGTCACAAGTTCCTCTGAAACTTCCAATGTTTCTCTATTTCTGTGTCCAATTATTTATGAAACTAACCATGTTCGCTAAAAGAACCCTTTCTTAAACATGGACAAACGTTCTGAATCTATCACAACTGGATGATCATTCATTATGAAAATTTGGTGGAGTGTTTGACTTTTCAAAGGAAGAAAACAAGAATGGTCGGATTGTTTCAATGTATAAAATGATTAATGCCTTCCATCCATTATTGTGGCAACATTAGATGCTTCTGAAAAAGAGGATAATGGACAAATATAAAAAAATTAAAACAAAGAAATAATGTGGCAATGAGGACAACTTTTAATTCATTATTTTCCCATTTTAATCAGGGTTTTCGTTATGTGACATCAAGGCCGATGGTGAGGTCCTCTTACAAGGCTGAAGAGCTGTACATGAAATCTATGATCGAAGCCGACAGCGCCAAATACATAACTTTTATCTTCAAATGATTGAGAACCCAATTCATCTCACTCTCATCGGTGATTTTTTAACAACATTGTTTGCAGCATGATTTGCTGTTGGTTCATAGAATTATGTATTGGTTGCAGCAAGACTTGTTGGTTCATCGAAGTTCCATGGCTCTTGTATTCCTTGCAGTGGATTCCTGATTGTCCATCCCTTTTCCATTTCTCTTTTTGGCTATTTCTTATGCATTTGTAGCACGCATGTAATGCTACGGCTATTGCTTGCCACCAAAGATTGAGAAAGTTGAATGTGTAAGGCTCAAAGATGCTTCCTTTTCTCATCTTTCTAATGTATTTGCAGCATGCACGCTGATGTCGCTTTTTCACAATTATCAATGGAGAAAGCATATTCATATTTGGTGCGCATGAAATATTTTCATGAAAGCATTTTTATATGAAAGAGCTCCTCTATGTGATTAGGTGGGGGAATTTTTTCACGCCATATGGACTAAGCACATTTTTCACACCAATTGGCTGTCAATTAGTGTGAAAAAACTCACACACCTAATCATATAGAGGAGCTCTTTCATGTGAAAATTCTCAATGAAAATATTTTTACGCTTACCAAACATGCATTAATGACCCATTTCTCAGTTTTTTTTGGTAATAATGAATTTTTTTTCAGCAAAACATGGTGATTGTATATGGTGATTGAATTTTAGTTTTTCATTTGGCCAGGATCTGCTTGTGGGAAAAAATATTTTTGTTCAATAGTGAACTGTTTTTGTGGGCTTAAAACTTTGAGGATTCCACCAACCACAAATTCTGAATCTCAGATTTCAATCTAAACTTCACCTGAAATTTCAAATTAAAAGATGTGGCTAAAATTTGCACTGAAACACAAATCTTTTGGTCCACAACCAAATTTCACATTTCATCCTAAAAACAATGATATGCCATTTTTCATTCATGAAGTACGAAAAGATTACTTCTTTGTGTTTATTCTATCTGGCTCGATCTTTTCACTTCGGTCTGCCCTTTTGCTGAGCAGTTCACCCTCTTTCTCCTCTCACAGAATTTACAATCTTTTCAGGCCATGCCCAGATTCTCCAGCTTCAAAAGTTACAGTAAAAATTGGACTTTGGCTCATGAAAGCATAAGAAAACAATATTACACAGAGAATTACAGGAAGATGAAACATTCTAAAGAAACATGAGGGTTGTCCAGTGACTCATTAGCAGTGGGAGAAGAAACCTTATTTAACTCCTCTTCGTTTGTTGCTTCCAAAGCTTCCTTTCTCTCTTTAGTATGAATCCGGCTAGTGGGGTTTGTGATTTTTGATTTCTCTCTCATTGGAGATGCCCTAGCTGCTGGAGATCTTGATCGCCGGCCTGAATTCTCGCTGGAATTTCCACCTCTCTTCATTTCATGCCTCTGAAAGCGACCCATATCTCTTTCTGAAACTGATTTCCCAAGCCTTCTCACTGGCGATTGCTCTGTTTGACTCAATGGAGAAGGGCTTCCCCTTCCTCTCATTTCCTCATTGTTTGAGAATGCCCTATTTCTTTGATCCATATATCTTGCTCTTCTCTTTGTTGGGGAAACATACTGCATTTTCTCTCTCTGGAGTTTTGCTGGAGAAACCACCTCCCTCTCTTCCCCAAATGTAGCTGAAACACTCTCACTCAAGCTGTTCAGGCTCTCTGATATTTCCAAGCTTTCAGAGTCTGCATGGATAGAAGCTTTCAGGGTTTCGCCTCCATGGGTCGAAGTTGTCAAGTTCTCGTCTCTGTGAGTTGAGTCTTTAAAGCTTTGGTGGCCATGGATAGAAGGTTTCAGGATTTCGTCTCCATGGGTTGAAACTTTCAGGCATTCGCCTTGGTGGGTGGGATCTTCGAAGACTGGAGCTTTTAAGCTTTCATCCCCATGAATCGGAGCTTTCGGGCTTTGCTTTTGGAGATGGATACTGCCATTGTTTTGCAGTTGGGTAATGCCATTGATTTGGTTGAGAAAAGATGGATGTGGGGTCTCTGATAATACTTCTTTTACTTTTTCTTCCACAACAGATTCTGAATCTGGATTTGGGTTGTTCGAAGTTTTCTTTTTGCTAAAGCAACAACCCATAGATGAAAAGATTAGGAGCCCTAATTTCTCTGGTTTCTCCTATTGTAACGTAAATGGTGGGGATTTGGGGCTATATTGTATAAAAGTTTCTGTTAAATCTGGAGGTTATTCCTCTACTGTAACACATAAGTGATGAGGCTTGGGGTCTATACCAGTAAAATTCCTGCTAATCTAAGTATTTTCTGCTAAACCATTATCCGCCAATGGATGAACAAGTTTCGAAGCCCTGAGATAATACAAGTAATGGGGATTTGTAAAAGAAAATAACTTACCCAAAATAAGATTTGGAGCAGGTGTTGGTACAATGTCAGCTAAATCTGGAGGTAAGTAATAGAGATCTCTAGCTCTTCCTCTGTGAAATGATGAAATGGGGGTTTGTAGAGTACTTTAAGGGAAGCCATCTGATCTGCCAAATGTAGAAGTTGCAAGGTTGAAGATGACCTCTGGTTATCCTGCTGTATAATATGAAATGGATGATTACAGTGGTGAAATTTCTTCCATATCTACAGTAAGAAGTGGAGCTGAATGGAGTTAGAGGCAAGTAATTGAGATCTCTGTGAAATGATGAAATGGGGGTTTGTAGATTACTCCAAGGCAAGACCTCTGCCAAATGTAGAAGTGGCAGGGTTGAAGAAGACCTCTGGTTCTCCTGCTGTAAACTATGAAATGGATGATTATAATGGTGAAATTTCTGCCAAATCTAGAGGAAAAAGGGGAGCTGAATGGAGTTATTTTGGTGAAATGTGTGCCAAATATGGAGGAGGCGGAAAGTGGATGAGAAATAGCTCAAAGTTAGCACCACATTGGAAGCGGCTTCTTAAATGAAGAGAAGAATGTCTGGGTGGGCTATCTACGCCCTTAGCTTTCTCTTCTCTTCTTTAAGACATCGTAAATACCTAGCCTAATGCTTTGCTCCACTTAACTCACGTGTAATTTTGTTTTTTTTTTAAAAAAAAAAATTAAATAAAACCCCAAAATAAAAAAATAGATGTTTACGCAATTTACCCCAGAAAAACTTTCTTTGTTCCCCTACACCATAGAATTTCTATCCTCCCTTTATCCAACCCTCTATTTTTGAATGGAGGGCTAAGATTGCCCTAATCACAATGTCATGTCTCTACCCTATTTTATTTTTAATTTTTTTCTATAAACTATTTTGACACCAAATTTTGCAGCAACGAAAAATATAAAACAAAATTTCAATAAAATAAAATGATCAAAATACCCCTGAAAGTTTCAAAAAGTATTTTGGCCATTATTTTTTATCAAAAAAATATTGTCAATATTTTTATAGATACGCCCCAATGAGAAGATGGTATGTACCAAATTTCATATACTTTGAGACGTCGGATCTAAGATTTAAGATCTAAGATCAAAGATCAAACAGTGAGTGGCTCTCTTGATAAAAAATAGACAGCTGGATGGTAGGGGATGATAGAACTTCTATGTTGGAAAGGAACATATAAAGCTTCCCCATTTACCCCACCTAACTTTTCTTAGCATCTTTTTCCCAAAAACAATGTTTCCCAGCAAATACCCCCAACTCAAAATAATAATAATAATAATAATAATAATAATAATAATAATAATAATAATAATAATAATAATAATAATAATAATAATAGAAGACTAAATAGCCCTCCCTTACTTCACATGTTGACCATGGTGTTTCGGCACTTCACCAGTTTGGAAGAGGCAGTCCTGCTTAAGTCACTGATTTGGAATGGTCTGGCACTTCATCATGGCGGTCCGGAGTTTGGAAGAGGTGGTATGGTATTTGTTTCTGGATTAATCAGCAGTCGGTATTTGGAGCTACGGTCCAACAAAATTGAAAATTGTGTTTAGAATAGGCAGCCCGGCAGTGTATAGTTTCGGTCCGGCAGAATGGATGGGTGGTCCGGCAATATACAACTACAGTCCGACATTTCTTTTTATTGGGATTCGAAAATGATTTTTTATGCATGGGAAGGGTATTTTTGTCAAAAAAATGAACTTTTTGTATTGGGGGTATTTGCTATAAAACTTGATTTTGGGAAAAATATGTTAAAAAAAATTAGGGCTGGGTAAAGTGCCTAGAAAGTCTATTTTTGGAGGTTTTATGTAATTTTTTTTTTTTTTTAGCCACTTTAGAGAAAAGTAATGACTTTAATAGCCTAGTCTTTCCCAAAAATGTCAAGGACACCCATTCCTTTTTACTCATGAATTATTAAATGGATCCCTCCCTCATATGTAGAAATATGGGCCTCTTAATAAATCTATTTTTTAGATGGATTTTAAGACTTAATTTTCAAGGATATGTAATCTCTAACATGGAGATCATGAATATGAAAAAATAAATAAATTTTAAAAACTAGAAATAATAATTCTAGTAAGAAAACATTTAGACTGTTAGTTTTTATTGTTTTTAGATGGAACACCTATTTGTATCCATCTTTAAGATGGATGCTTTACACTTTATGGACGGCATATGTAGAAATGCGGTCCAGCCCACATGAAACAATTTTTTAAAACATATTACAAAAAATTTCTTATTTTTTGGAAAAAATTATTTTGTTTTCAAATTTTTTTTTAATATCCCCAAGCTTGACCATGAGACGAGACTATTTATACATTTGTTTATACACATTGTATACCATGAGATGAGACTATTTATTTTTAATACAAGGAATTCATACTCTCTTTTAGTACAAGAAGTATGTCACAACATTCAGAAAATTTTGTTTTATACATTTCTTTGTTTATAAGTTGTAGATTAGGGAGCATATATTGTACATTTATTTCATTTGGCGGTGCTTAAGAAGTATCCGTCTTAAGATTCACTATAGAAGCACTAAATGCATGTAAATTAAAAGGAAAAATATGTAAAGAAATTATTTCTTTACGGTACAAGAAGATCACAATCAATCTTGCCCGACACATTTTAAATTGGATGATTGCAAGTATGCCATTAATTAGATTTAAAGTTCAAAAAAAATTTCTCGTACTTCATGACACACTTCAAATTATCCAATTTTACACCCAAAGGGCTAGGAGTGACTGTGACCTCCTTGTAATCAAAGTAAATGGTCTCATTGTTTACAATCCTAAACTAAAATTACTAAGATCTAACATATCACAAAATGGATAATGTCTATTTTTTTTCAAGCACTCGAATACAATTTTCGATCTAACATATCACAAAATGGATAGTGCCTATTTTTTTTCAAGAACTCAAATACAATTTTCTTTTTTTTGAGGTTGAGAAGCTGCACCAAAAAATTGGGAATTCACCATTTAAATTTGCTTCTTGATGCGATTCTAGTGGTGGGAACAAGAGATTTTGCTTTTAGGCTATAGATGATTTGGGATTTTTTTGCATAGTCTCTCGCTTGTTACCTTCACATTAATTGGTTGTAAACTTTCCCTTATTACAGCTACATGATTGCATGACCTATCTGGAGAGAAAGAGACCACATGATCCTTAAACAAAGCATAGTCGCATATGAGGGCAAGGCCCATAGGCTTAGGAGGGCTAGGGCCATAGGCTTAGTGGGATTTCCTTTATTTTAACGAAACCTAGCTTTGTCGTCATTCTTAAGGAGAGGGAGAGATTTGGATGCACATGGGAGCTTATGGAGAAAATCTAGGGTGCTTTTCTCATGCAAAGCAAGCTAACCTGTCAAAATAAATCTAGTGTGTGCGAATGGAGTTTTCCCTGGGAAAACCTAGGGTCTTATATTTTTTATGTTGAACCGGCCCCATATTTAGGGTGGCAGTGGTTTGGGTGGTCCGACTTTATCCGGTCAACCAGACCCTAAAAAAACCAGGGCTTGGGCCACATAGTATATCCTGAGGGCTGGGAAAGAACGGCCTAGGATAGGGCCCGGCCGGGGCTAGGCGAAGGTCGGCTCGGTTTGGCCTAGCCTGGCCCTCTTTTTTCTTTATTTTTTCATGTTTTATTTAATTTGCCCCGGTGCCACTCTAATAGGGCTAAGTGGGGTATGGGCTAGGGCCTCTTTGGCCTAGTCAGGGCGGGCTTGTGCTGGCCCTATGGGGACTAGAGTCGTGTGCAGCCCATGGCCAGTCGTACCCATATCTAATGGGATTTGACCATTTCTTTCTTTATAAAATCTAGTGTTTTAAAATTTTGAGATTTAAGATCTGGTTCGCCGATTCAAATGGGAATTGATCGAGACCAAACCAATTTTAAGATGGTAGGGGTCATGGTATGGTTCCCCCAAAACGCCTCCTTCCATATTTTTTTCCTTTTTTTCTCTGCTTGTATAATTTTTCTTAGGTCCCAATAAATCCCTACCTACCCTGCAGACCCCTATTATAAATTTTTATTTTATTTTATTTATTTAGGATCACTCATTCGGATCAATCCAGGCTCGACATAAATTGTTGATCCAACAATCCGATGTAGATATATGGGTGAACGATTCGCTCCACCATTCCATTATCCCTTTTAAAGGGAAAATATACAATGAGACCATTACACTTGGCTTCATTTATTTCGTTGACAAAGCTCAAAGTTCAAAAGAAGATTTTTTGAACTTTGTGACATACTTAATATGTCAGATTTCATATTAGATAGTTGTGAATAATTGTGATCTCTCTATACCAAAAGTAAATGATCTCATTATATACAATCTTTTTTTTAAAACACCGATAAAATCAATGCCTATTCTTTATTTTTTCTAAAGGATCCGGTTTCTATGCAGCCAAGCCCGCATATATAGAAATGCGGGCCTCTTAATAAATATATTTTTGAGATAGATTTTAAGACTTAATTTTTAAAGATATGCAATATCTAACATGGAGATCTTGAATATAAAAAAAGAAATATATTTTAGAAACTAAAAATAATAATTCTGGTAATAAAACATTTGGACGGTTAGTTTCTATTGTTTTTAGGTGGAGCACTTACTTGCATCCATCTTTAACATTGATGCTTTACTCTTTCTAGAACGCATATTCAGAAATGTGGTCCAGCCCGCATAAAACAATTTTCTTTTTCTAAAACCAATTTTGATGCGATTTGTTATCATTTGTTTTAATAAGAGAGCAACAAATTTACAGGCTAAATGGTTTAGAATATTTTATTATTTTTTGGGTAATTAAGTAGGAAAGACAACCCCCACCCGTTTTTTAAATAGATTAGGAATTAGACTTTTGAAAGTATTAATGATGTGGTATTAGTAGTAGAAATGAAAACCACAACGAACCCCTACTCATTTTTTAAATAGATTAGGAGTTAGATTTTTTAAAATATTAATGAGGTGGTATTAGTGGTAAGAATGAAAACGACAACATAATAACTAAAAGCAGTCACTAAACGGTTTAGAATCTTTAGACTTTATACTTTAGAGGGGTTTAGAGTCTTCAGAATCTTTAGAGTTTAGAGAGGTTTAGAGTTTTTAGACTTTAGAGTTTAGAGAGAGGTGAGAGAATGTTGTGTTTCGTGAGTTGTCGTCCTCCTCAGTTTAATGCAGGCATGAGTGACCGTACATGCGCATTTATATGACGATGCAGACATCAATCCGAGGATGGCTGGGCCTATGCACTTTTTCCTTATGCAGTCTCCTTCTAAATGTTTTTTTTGTTGGAGATCGAAGAAATCCCATTATACATGGATTTTGGAAGTGAAATCACACACGTCGTAAAATCACAAAAATCAATCATTTTGACCACCATGATCATCAATTTGAAAACAAAAATCAGATTTTAAGTATCAAAAATAGGCTGCATTAAATGATATGTTGGACTATACATTTTCGCTCATCTAAACCATTAGATATGCACTAATTCTTTTTCTTCGTTTGCACTTTTCTTGAGCTGCAAAACCATGGATATAGCAAGGAAATGCATATAGAATGACATGTATT